TGAGGATCTTTTCCTTTCTTAAATCAAAGGGCCTTGCGCTCAAGTCTCCCTCCTCCTGCAAACTGCTGTGACATCTGCCACTGAGCCAACACCCTCCCACCCCCACCTCACCTCACCCCACCCCAATCTCTCCCCTCTGAGGTTTCCATGACTTTACACCTACAAGTTCTACCTGTATGGCCATTCTCTCAGTTGTCTTCATTGTCCTCATGCTGCTCTCTCACTGGGGGTGTTCCCTAAAATTGGGGTGGGGGTTCTAGGCCCTCTTCTCTCTCTCCACTCTTTCCCTTGGTGAGCTCATTCACTCCCACAGGTTCACTTATCTCTATGCAGGTGACTCTGAAACCTACATATCCAGGCCTACTGCCTCTCCTTCCCTCTAATTTCTCCCTTCCAACTCTGCCCCTAGGATACCACCCCTGGGGAGGTCTTGTTGGCATCTCAAACTCACTGGCTGCATCCTCATCTTCCTCCCTAACCCCACCTGTCCTCCAAACTCACCTCTTCTGTGGAGGGCACCACCATCCTCCCAGCCACCTTGGCCCAATCTCTGCCTCTTCCTGCTCCCCACCTTCATTAGCCAGTAAAAAGCAAAGTCATATCAATCCTAACCCGACCCTCTCCTACACCTGCCTGCCCTCTTCTCCATTCCCCAAGGCCCCACCCCAATTCAGGCCCTCCTGGCTTCTCATTCCTTCCACAAGCATGGAGTAAACATGTACTACTAGATGACGGGCCCTGGGCCTCGGACAGCCTCTTGCATGGATGCCTGACGCAGCGTCCCAAGGGAGAGCCTGGCTCCAGTCCTTGCCCTCTCCAAGCTGCCAAAAGCATCTTCCTAAGGCACGGCTCTGGCCATGTCACTCCCTTGCTCAACATCCTCCCATGGCTCCTTCTTGCTCACAAGATGAGGGAGGCACTCTCAGCCTGGTCTTTAAGGCCCTCTCCAATCTCTCAATCCTATCTTTCCAGGCTTCTTCCACACTGCTCCCCTTCACACATTCCATGTTCCAGCCAAACTGGACTATGAGCTGTCCTCTCAATTCAACAGCCCATCTCCAGCCTCTAGGCATTTGCCTAGGCTGTTCCCCCCTCCCATACACCCTTGGAATGCCCTCCTCTTCGCTCCCCCTTCACCTCAGCCTTTCAGACTTCTTTGTTTTCCCTTCAAGTCTCAGCTCAGGTGCCAAATCTTGGGTGGAGTCTTTCCTGATTCCCTCCACACCATTTCCCACTCTGCCACCCCCAACCCCACCCAAAGCTGCAAGGTAGTCCTCTCTCTTCACCAGTCTTCACTTTGTCTTGGCATTCAAGGAGAGGCCACCCACCTTAAAATACCAGTATCTGCAAACACACTGGCCACACCTCACCCCCATCCCATCCTCGTAAAATAACAGCTCCTTCATGGTGGTCTGGGTCCTTTAAAATGCTGGTATTACCGGCACCTAGCACAAGACTTACCACATGTTTGTTGAATGAATAATGTAGCCCACACCTCACTGCCCCTGAAGATGGCAATAACCATCCCCATTTATAGAGCCCTGGAAGGTTTTCAAAGCACTTTCCTTCAAATGAGATAAAATTGGCAAAGTGCTTGGCAAACCTTAAAGTGCTACATAAATGATAGCTATTATTATTATTTTATTATTGTTTCCATTAAGAAATGGATGGTAGGCCAGATGGATTGTGGAGTCATAGCCCATTATGAAGAAGTCCCTAATTCACTTTCCAAGCCAGGGATGCCAATCGGTGTAGTCTGTTTTGTCACTGATTTGGGGACACAGAGGTTACATACCCAAGGTCACCATGTAGTTGCCTTCACCCAAGTAGGCTTTCTCCCATTGTGGCAGCTCTGCTATATCCTCCACCTTCACAGAGGTATCCATGACTTCAGTGATAGCTTTCAGCCCCTGTGGAGGAAGCAGTGAAACAAGGTCCTTCATGCTGGGAATGTCAACCCTGAAAATGCCCTGCGCTGTATCCCATCCCATGCCATCCACTGGGACAAATCCCAACTCATCACCCCTGATTAGGCACTTAACACCACACAGGTGTTCCTCTACTCCAAGCCTGCCACACATCAGTCCCAGAATGCCCAAAGGAGGGCACCCCTCCTTACTGGTGGATTTCTGCTGAAGCTCCAAATATCTGCAATGTGTCACAACACCCCCACATTCTCCCCCCTCTGCACCCTCCCCCCAGGGTCCCTATATTCTCCTTAAGCTTTCATGTGCTTTGGGCACTGTGCTTCTGTGATGCTGGAGACAGTTCAAACTAGCTCACAAGAGCTGTTCAGTTTTCAGTGTGAGCATTTACATACACCTCCAAAATCAACAAATGCTGATTTCTTTTGTTGATTGTCTAGACTTAAGCAATGGAGAAAATGTTAGTAAAGAAGACTAAACATCCAAGAGTGTTGTGTATACGTTTTCTTCAAAGAGTCAACTTAAACATTTCCCAGCACACCATAGCAAATTACCCACAAACATGCAACTCTGTTAAAGGGGTGGAATCCCTGCCAAGCTTCTGCAGGACCCATGGAAAAATTCTGCTTTAGGACATCCTCTGGACAAATGGGGAGGGGAAGGGAAGCCCCTGTATTCCCATCTGGCCCTGAGAACATCATCCTGACCCCATGGAGGTTATAATGACAAGGTCCAGTTCAGAGCAATGTTCATCGGGGATAGGTCAGCACGGAGATCACACAGGGCTTACCTGGTTGCAGAGGGTTAGAGAATCATGTACAGACTGAAAGAATGGACCACATGGGTTGATGTAGGGGGCAGGGCAGTTACAGTGCTCATGAAGCTCATCCTCAAAAACGTGTATAAAAGCAATCACCAGCTGATGGAAATCTGAGAGAGTCAAGCCCAAGGTGCCACAACCATGGCTGGAGATTTTCGCACAGTGGGGTGAACACTGCAAAACCAAAACCAAGAGACCAGGGCCTTCATTTTGTGAGCTTCCCAGACCCTTTCTGGGGGCTTCCCCACTGCCTGGGGTCACGCTGATGTGTGTATCAGTCTCTCCCTCTGTGTAACAAATGGGCAGGAGTTCTCTCCTGCAGCTCCAGTGGCACCAAGAAGCACTGACAGAATACTTTCTGGGGCCTCAGGGCTGTGCTAGGTGCTGTGGGGGCTACAGAAGGACACAGTGATGCAGCACCCAGGTGCAAGGCATAGGAAGACAAACAGAGAGCGCCATGATACTCAAGCTAGGGGGACACCTAGCCTACTTCCTGATAGGAAAAGGCATCCAGATAAGGAACACACATGGTCAGCAAGCAATACCCATCGATGGCTGGATGAACTCCATTTATTCCTGAGACACAAGACCGGTACTGGATTCTCTTCAGCAGAACATAAGCTCCTTGAGGGCAGAGACTGACTTTGTGTTTGTCTTCATGGCCCCAGTGCCCTGCACCCAGGCGCCTAAGAAACGTTTAAAGTGGACTTCTCTCCCAAGCTCTGAAAGGGATGGTTGCCTCTGGGAGCCAGAGCAAGGCCTGATCCTGTGCTGGCTTCTGTGGGATCATGCCTTTACCTCCCCCAGACTCAGTCTGCTCACCTGAACGGGGCGCCGGGCCAGATTTGGCAAATACAGTCCGTTGATGCTGCCCTGGTGACCGACGGCCTGGAGAAGGAAAGCCCAGCAATGTAAGTTGTATTCTCACAGTCCCTCATCTTCTCCCCATTCGGCCCTGTCATCCCACATTCCTAGGGTGGGGGAAAATACTTGGCAGAGCACTCAGTACCCCAGCTGTCTCCTTCTCCTCCTGCTTGTCTCACCTCTTCCTTATGCGCCGGCAGCATTTCAGTGAGCTTAGTCAGTTTTTCGGAAAGCTCTTCCACCTTCGTCTTCTTTGCCTCCAGTGGCCTTTGAGGAGAAACGAGCGTCAGCTTCCTCAGCATACTCCTCACCACAGACTAACAGATGGGGCTGAGCATGTGGCAGACGTCTCAGGTGAGGGTGAGGGTATGAAAAAAGACCACAGGAGTGGGGAGGAAAACGTCCTGGGACGGGACGGGACGGGACGGGGAGCAGATCTCCTTCCCGGGAGCAGAATATGGACCAGGAAGAATGGCACACAAAGTGGGCTGGGAGGGCCCACTTCTCTGAGGGGCTCTCCAGAGTAGGTGGAGGATCACCACTGGGTACCGTGGGCATGTACTAGGTTGCAGGCAGTAAGGTCCCCAGGAAGGGAGGAGGAGCAGATGGTATTGTATGCCTGGCTATTCCCAAATGTTTGTCTCCTAATGAAATCAGGTTAAGGTGAAGATCAAGCAGGGGGACAGAAAGAGGTCACAAAACCAGAGGGGTTGGGGGGATGGGGAAGGGAGGGCAGCAAGAGAGCTGTCTGGTCCTTCCCGCCTCTCCAAAAAGGCAACGGGAAGCTTGAGGGCAGGATGTGCTACAGACGGGCTTGCCTAGTGAAGGTGGGAGGCTTGGTGGGGTTGACAGATGATCTGTGTGGATGAAAGCCTTAGGCTGGGGGGTGGAGGTGGCTAAGAGCTCTGGAAAGGGGGTACCATCTCACTTCTCCCAATCCCTAGCCCCTCTGCCAAAGTCACTGCCTACCTGTCCCCACTGCAGGGCCCCTTAAGGCACAAGGCCCAGGGAGATGGCTCCCAAATGTTGGGGAAGGAGCCCATCCATTCAATCCACAAGCATCTGTGAAACGCTTCCTACATGCTAGGCCCTAGAAACATGGCATTGCTAGCTAAAGGAGCTGGGGAAGCTGGGGACAGGGCAGCGACTCCAGCAAGACGGTCCCCAGGATCACTGCTGGAATGTAGTGAAAAGACTGCGTCATTTGGAATCAGAGGAACTGGGGGTCCAGGCCTGGCTCTGCTGCTTAACCAGCTCTGTGACTCTGAGCAGGTCTCTTCTTCTATTTCAGCCTCAGTTTCCTCATCTATAAAGTGCAAATAATCTGTACATATCCTACTTCCAAGTATCAAAGGAACACGTGCTTTGTAAACCCTAATACAATGAAATGTGCCAGCTGTCAACATCATGGTGGGTCTCCTTTTCTACATGGCAAAGACGGTCCAGAGGCAAGTCAAGCCTTGTCACCTGGCAGAGTGGCCCAGCCTACCTCTGCTCCCCGTCCCGTCCCAAGGACATTTTCCTCCCCACCCCTGTGGTTTTTGTACATACTCTCGCCCTCACCTGAGACATCAGCCTCCTTGGCTGGAGCTCACACTAATGGTGGTGAGCAGGTACCAGGTGTCTCAATCACCCAAGAGCTGGTGGGATTTTTATCAGGAGCCCTTGAAGGGAAAGCTCTGCTCTCTACTATGCCCCTGGCCCCTGCCCCCTGGCTCAGCCTACCCTCACCTATGCTATCTTAGTTCGTGGAACTTGCCAGGGATTTAAAACACACCACGGTATTAATTCTGAGTACATCAGTGGCCTAAAGCCCAAACCTGACCCAGTGTACTGCCCACTTGAGTTGCCCTTCTTGATAGGGGCAGATATCCTCACAGGTCAGGCCTATTTCTGGAAGGCTTTTCACAATGCAAAGTAGAGACTGGGTGGTGCTGAGGGAGGAAGACATTGAGGATGGATAAAGAAGCAGGGAAGGAGGGAGGGAAGGGAGTTCATTTTAGGTGGACTTCATTTTCAGTGAAGCTGGAGTCCAAAAGTCATGTGCTGGGAAGGGTCTAGCATTCTTTCCACTCTATCTCTTGGGATGACACTTTGCCAAAAAGGGGGCGGAGAAAACCACCAATTAAGTGCAGCCTGAACCTGCAGGTCCCCCTAGGGCTCTGGCCATGGGGTTTTCTTTCTCAGTCCCCAAGTACATACATTATATGCAGGTTTTCCTTTATTCCACAAGAGGACTCCATGTCCAGAGGCAAGGGACTGAACTTGGGATCTAGGATCTCCATGTGGACATGGGAAGTGAAGACCTTCTTCAGCAGCATCTCATTGTCTTTCACTAACTTGGAGAAGTTCTCCTCCACACTGCAAACATCATAAATCACAGGGAGGTTCCCCAGAGTCAGAGGTGGGGTAACTGTGGGCATGCCCTTCCCCATACCAGGTTTCAACCTCACCTGAGTGCCTGGGGCAATCCTGGGCCTCCTAGAGGAAAAGCCTTCATTCAAAGCCACAGCTCACCAGAGGCCCTTGGGGGCCCGGCCCTCTTCCTGCCCAGCCTCTCAGATCCAGCTACCATTGGTTCCCAGAGCATCCTGACCATTCCGGCTCAGTGACAGAGCCTTCCCGCACGCCCCAAGAGCTTCCCTGGCTGGGCCACTCATGAAACAATCAATCCCAGACTGCCTAGTGTTATTTTCTCCTCTACTCTACCTTTTTTTTTCTCTTCCCATTAATGTTGCTTAATTTTTCTAATATATTTCTTATGTTTGTTTGTTTTTGTGAGACAATTGGGGGTTAAGTGACTTGCCCAGGGTCACACAGCTAATAAGTATCAAGTGTCTGGTCTGAGAGCAGATTTGAACTCAGGTCTTCCTGACTCCAGGGCTGGTGCTCTATCCACTGCGCCACCTAGCTGCCACTTTAACAGATTTCTAATATATTTTTCTAATACACTTTGTCTCTAACAATGAGATTGTTAACTCTTTGAAACCAGGGGCCATGTCTTAAAATTTTATCTCCCCCAAAACATATAGCACAGGGCTAGGCACACAGTTGTTGCTTAATAATTGTTAATTGTTCATTCAAGTAATTTTGATCACCTATGAGCCCTGATGTGACAGAAGGGGAGTTGCCCTCTGAAGTCAGGCCTGGATTCCTGCACTGGGTGGGAAGTTTTATTGTATGACCTCCATAATCCTTTCCAACTGTGAGAATCTACACATGTGAGCCTGAGTGAACAGAACCAAAATAAAGGGTGTAGAATGGATCTTCTTAACCCGCACCCCCTGCCAGTTCTACCAAGGGACCTCCCAGGAGAGCATCCCCTGGCTTTTTACCTGAAGAAGCTGGTGGCATATTCAGGACCCAGACTTGTGACCAGATCCAATAACTGGTTAAAGAAATAAAGCTGTTCCTTCACACCAGTAGAGCCCTGGACAAAGAAAGCCAAGTATAAGACCACAAAGAGCCCCAGTTTTCACCACCATCTCTTATCCTCAGAACTCACTGCCTTATGCTCTGTAGGGCTGGAAAGACTTCTGGATGGGGAGTCGGAGGACCAGAGGTCTAGTTCTGGCTCTGCCATTAACTCTGTGAAACCTTAGGCATATTAGCTCTTTGGGCCTCAGTTCTTTCTTTTGTCAAATGGGGATAAAGATATCTTTCTCACCTCACCTTCGGGGTTGTTGGGGGAGATCCCAAAGTGCTTGATGAGGATGGTGCTTAAGTCTACAAGAGTAGACAAGCAAATAGATACCTAGCTACTCCAACACATCAGATCCCCAAAAAGCCATCCACCATCTGCCGGAAGACTCTAATGAGTGAGAACCCCTCACCTCTTGAGGTAGCCCATTCCGGCTTTGAGTTCGATTCTTGAGATAATTCTAAAAGGTAAATTCTAAAAGGTAAAGGGAAATTAATGAACACTTTCTAACAAAAAAAGAAAAAAAAAAGGGAACAGGGATCCTAAAAAGCCAGGACAAGTCCTACCAAAATGACCTCATTTCTTCTTCCTCTTTTTTTTTAATTAATTTATTTTGAATTATCAACAATCACTTCCAGAAGTTTCTGAGCTTCAAATTTTTCTTCCTCTCCCTTCCCAACTCCCTCCCCAATAAAAGCAAATTCTTTTTTTTTGTTTGTTTTTTTAGGCAATTGGGGTTAAGTGACTTGCCCAGGGTCACACAGCTAGCAAGTGTCAAGTGTTTGGTCTGAGGCTGGATTTGAACTCAGGTCCTCCTGACTCCAGGGCCAGTGCTCCTTCCTCTTTTTTTTTTTTTAAATAAGGTTTCATTGATATACTTTCTTTTTCTATCACCCACATTTCCCAGTGTATCTCCCTCCTCCCTCTCCTAACCAGGGGGCCATTCTTTATAACAAACAATAGAACAAGCTAAAAAACATACAGCAAAAACGAACCAGCATTTCCCCTAGCTCTTCTTTTGGGCCCAGCTCACTCATTCTAATTGTGCAGCTCCCAGTTTGAATTATTATGTGGCTGATCTTTCACTGACATCGTTCTGCTCATTCTTCTGCTTACTTCACTTTACATCAGTGCAGACACATTTCCCCAGCACAGAAATAATAGCCTTTACATTCATGGACCACAACCTGGTAAGTCATGCTCTAACCAACAAATGTCTACCAGTTGTTTCCAGTTTGGGGTGGAAAGTAAAAAAGTACTGCTAGAAATATCAGAGGAGAGGGCACTCAGACTGTTTCTTTTGAACATTACCCTCCTTGGGGTATATGTCTAGTGGTTGTCTCTGTGATAGACAACAGGACAGTTAGGTGAATTTGGGGCTCGCTGAAGAGCCAGAGCCGGACTAGGTCAGCTTAGAAGAAGGCTGCTGGTGGAAAGTGCCAGGGATCTTTGCTTGGCCCTGAGCTATTTCTGTTTAGAATCAGAAAGCACTTAAGAGGCCACCTAGTCTAATCCCTTCATTTTACAGGAGGGGAAATGGAGGCCTCTCAGAGTACCTGCTCTTCAAGGCAATCTAAGAAAGAAGACAGACCTGGAGATGGTCCTCTCTCTGCTCTTTTATCCCCTTTCAGTTATTCTTCCCCTAGCTCCAATGCTTGTCACTCGGCAGAATGGCCAAGCCTACATCTGGCTTCTTGGCTGGAGCTCACACTAACAGTGGTGAGCAGGTATCCTCCTATCTCGCACATAAGAAAATAATTGGAACTGAATTCACAGTGAGGTATTACCTTTCCCAGGAATATTTACAAGAGAGACTGAGAAGGACAAAAACATACCCAAGTGAGTGAAATCTCGAATGGTGACATCTCTGCCCTTCCCATCATGCTGTGAGGCAGAGGAGCATTTCTCAGGCTTCAGATCCTATTTCTCCTACTTGGCCTGTGCCCACATTGAGATCTGCCTAGCACCTGGGACAACAGTCTTGAGGAAAGCATTCAGGCTGCTTCCAGGGCTGTTCCCAGGCTCAGGAGGCTGGAAGGTCTTATGTGCATTGCATTTAGCCTCACAGCCATCAACCCCTTCAAAGCTCAAGCAAACTCAGGCCACACAGCCCAGGAAATAGCCAGATGATTGAGCCTCCAGGCTCAAGAGAAGCCCTCCATTCTAGAGGGCCCTTACTCTAACCCAGCTCCACTCAAGAAGACACTAAAAGAGTATTCTTGCTAAAAGAGAAGTTTAAAAAAAAAGACATTATTCTTGTCAAATGTCACCTGAACTGGGCGCGAGATGAAAACCAATTGCCTCCTGGTTAATGAGAGCCCCAGACTCTTCGTCACCCCTAGCCAGACAAGCCTACTGGGTTGCCTAGGGGTGCAGGCCTCCCCACAGCATCCAGATGGGGGCTGAGCCTGGGCAAGAGGCCTCTCAGGAGCCTTCGGCTGAGCAGTAAACTTCAGTCCTACAACTGTGTCTGTCACTCAAACCTCTATGCTAGATCCTGGCTCAGGAAAGTCCACTCTTCAGCAAGACTTTGCTGTCCAGAACCAATGCTCAAATTCTCAGTCTCTTTTGTCTACTTTCCTGGGACCCAGGTTTCCTGATCTATAAAATGCAAGGGTGAGCCTTATGGCTGCCACGTGAGAAGGAACAGAGGAAAGGTGGACTTAAATCAGAAAAAAATGGTAGAGGCAATCTGGGGAGGCTTTAACTCGTGAAGGAGGCTAGCAACTGAATTTGGGAGAAACTGAGGAAACTCTGCTGGGACTGGGGAGAGAATCCCAGGGCTAGATTCTACTTCTGGATTCTATGAGAGGAGATTGAAGAAGCACGGTAGTACACTGACAGAAGTGTTGGATTGGTATGAGAAGACCTGGGCTCCCTTACTGGCTATGTGATCTTGGGCAAGTCACTTAACATCTAAGCCTGACAGGGATGGTGTGCTCATGGAATATGAAGATGTCACAATGCAGGCATGGGGACACAGTGAGTGACAGGGTCAGGATCCCCAAAGCTTGTGACAGGCTAGGCCACTGGGCTGACACATGCAGAACACACAGGATGGTGAGAACACAGGCAGGCAGTAGTTTGAAAAGGATATGGGGATGTCAGTGGACCACTAGCAGTCAACAAAGTCCAGTGTGGCTAGAGTGTCGTGTGTGTGCGTGTGTGCGTGTGTGCGTGTGTGTGTGTGTGTGTGTGTGGATTGGCAGAGGAGGAAAATCAACACCAGGTTGGAAAGGCAGCTAGGGGCCTCAGTGAATAGTATCAGACTTGGAGTCAGGAAGACTCAAGTGAAAATCCTGCCTCACACATGTACTGGCTGTGTGTCCTTGGGCAAGTCACTTAACTTCCCTGGGGCTCAGTTTCCCCACGTATATACAGTAGGAATAATGATAATTGCACCTACCATCCAGGGTTATTAGGAGGAACAAATGAAATAACAGATGTAAAGCGCTTTGTAAACCTTAGGGCATTAAAAAACATGAGCAATGATTGTAGAGGGGCTGCATTCAGCGGCACAGCTGGCAGGGATAAAGGTGCCCTCTACCCGGGCACTGACAGCCATGCCCCATGAAGCCTCAATTGAGGACAGAGTGTTCATGAGAAGGGACACATGACAACCATCACCATCTTCAGGTATCTGAAGGGCTATAATGTGCAAGAGGGATTCCACTTGGCCGCAAAAGGGAGACTGGGGAGCAATGGGGCCTAGTTGGGAAGAGGCAGAATTGAGGCTTGATGTGTCTGTGCGGGGGGGGGGGGGTGGAGAGAAGCCTCAGAATGCTCTCAGGAATGGGTAGCCTCCAGAGAGAAGGGCAGGCCCCCATGGGAGGCCTTCAATAGAAGCTGGGGATGGGCTCCCAAGCAGGGACTCCCTGCAGAAGCCCGTTATGTGACATATATGGCGGCTGCGGCAGGCTCTTTCCACTTTAATTTGATGGATTCTGTGACCAGAGGGTCCTATAAAATGCTCACCTTCCACATTTCGGGATCTCTTGCCTGTATAGACATCATCACTAGACTCCTCCTTCCTGACTTTGGCATTTTCTCTGGCCTTGACTTGTGGTAACAGCCAGACCCTCTCCTGTCTAGAGAAAGTCCATGCTTGGGATGTGAGTGGGACAGTGGCACCTTCCTTCTCTGTCATCTTTCCTACCCAGTTACCAGCTCCTGTGAGCCTACCTCAGGCATATTCCCAACCCATCCCCCTCCTCTCTGTCCCCACTGCCACCTCCCCACCTTAGAACAAGTCAGCAATTTCACCTCCTACTCACCCACACCCCAGTAAGAACCTCTCAGGTCATGCCCTAAAGAACAAATCCCAGGTCACCTCCTCCACCAAGCCCTCACTGATCCCTTTTTGGGGGAATAACTTTCTCCCCTCTAACCTCAGAGAATTGGGCTTTGTACCTCCCTAATGAACTTGGTGTGTACTGGGGGTACAATAATGATCTGAAGCATGGTGGGGAGGTGCATGAGTGCCCAGGGGTGCCTTCCTGCTGCCTGAGGGTAGGGCCTCTGCCTCATCTAACCTCTGTGACCTCCACAGGCTCCAAGCACAGAGCGCTGAGCACAACAGGGACTTAACAAAGGGTGCCTGAATGAAGGAAGGAAGGAAGGAATATATAAATGAATGGGTTCCCTCTTTACCTTAATGAGATCCTGATCATCTGGCCCACACAACATCAGTTCATGGCCAAGTCTGGTCAACTCTGTCAAGATGATAAGGACTTGGTTATTGCAAACATGAACTTGGAAGAGAAGACAGTTCAGTGCCATCCCCACGATGCCAAATCTCCCCCATCTTAGCTAGGAAGGGGAACACCAGCCCCCTTCCTGCTGCCATTCTCATCCCAGCTATGTTCAATGCAAGGGAAAGGGTTTCCCATTTGTGATGGCAGACAGGGGGTGATCAGAAGCAGAATCAGAGCTGACAGCCAAGTTGTTGCTCAGGCAGCTCCAGGGAAAAGCATGAGCAGGAGAAAATTAGGCCCGGGTCCCAAAGAGGAAAACCTAGGGAGGAGTGAGGCGAAACCAGAGAGGATGTGGAAGACAGCCTGGAAGGTCAGGGTTCTAATCCTAGCCTCACGCCTAACTAACCCTCAGACTTGCTGTGTGAGCTCAAGCTAGTCTCTTTGCCTCTCTGGGCCCAAGGCTCCTCCTCTGGAGAAGGAGGAGGCAAGAGTACATGACCTCTGAGGGTCCTGACATTCAAAGGTCCTAAGTGGAAGCAAAGAACTTCCTTTGATCAGGATGATGTCATAGAAAGAACCCAGCATTCTGAGGCAGAAGAGCTGGGTTTGAATCCCACTTCTGATACCACCTGTAGGACCCTGGACAAGCCACTTCCCCACCTTGGGCCTCATGCTTAAATGAGACACTTGGATCAGCTGGTTTCTGAAGGCTCTCCCAGAACTCAGTCTAAGATCCCTTGAGAGACAAACGTTTAGTGACGCCAAGTAAAGACAGGATGGCTGTCTACATGAGTTCAGAAGACTTACAGGTTCAAGGTCTGGAAAGAAATGAACCCGTGGAGAAGCCTTAGCCTTCTCTAGAGGGTGGGGGTGGGGCACCAGGGATGGGCCTAAATGCCAGGGCCTGTGTGCATCACACAAACGTTAGTGTCAAGGTGAGTCGACAATGGGGAAAAAGAAGAATGGGGGAGGGGGATTTGAATCCAGCCTGAGAAGGGCACCTGGAAACAATCAGTCAGGCTAGCCCCTGTCTTGGGGCATTTAGGACTATGGTTGGGAAAACTTATCTGTGTTGACCAGTTGGTCATGGCAGTGTGAGGGGGAGAGAGGAACAGGAGAGTGCCTACCTAATAAAAAGAAGAATCACTAGCATTTCTACAGTGCTTACTAACTCTTCCAAACCCAACAGTGAGAGAGCAGATGTTAATAGGGGACATGCAACCCTGGTGGCAATACAATGGGATGTCTACTTTGGGCAATGGGAGGTAAAGGAGGGATCAGCTGTTATGGTCCCAGATCTTTAGACTCATGCAGAACAGCCCCACTTCTCTGGATTTTCTTCAAAATGGAGAAGAGAACAAGGAAGGGGAAAAGAGTTTCCTTGTTGCTGAGCCAAGAAAGTGGGACTCAGAAACTGATAAGGGCCAAGCTTGATGCCACACTGACCTCTAGGGAGCAGGGGATTTTAGGCACCAAACCATGGCCCCATTTCCTCTCTCTGGCCTTCAATCTCTGCCTCTGTAACATGGGGAGGGGTTGGATCTGATGACTTTTTAGGGCCCTTCTGGTTAATGCTCTGTGCTTTGATTTACAAACACAAGGACAAACTGGGATGACGCTTGTGAAAAGGAACAACTAACTCATGTTCTCCCCCTCTTAACTCATCATTTAGATGACAGCCAATTCTGTGTCCACACACGAGGCATGTGTACAAAGAGAACTGGGCATGCGTGACGCCCTCTTTTTGGTCACCTCAGCCAGGGATGCTGCTTTTCTAACCATCAACTTTGTCATGGTCCTGGCTGTGAAGAGGGTTAACCTGAGGAGACTGGGTCAGCACCCCAATCTGCTTCATTCACCATGCCGCTGAGCAGGGCCAAACTCGGTGCAACACAATTTTCCTTCTTAAACTCCATCTGGTTTCAGATGCGGCCTTAAGTCTCCAATCCATTTTGAAATGGAAAAGTTATTCACTGTCTTAAGGGGCTGAGACTGCTCAAATTTTCCTAAAGTTCATAACTGGGTTAAGAACAATTTCTGCCAAAAACTGAATGCAAACAGGAGGTTATAGAGAAATCTCTGTGAGACCTTGACTCCAGTGCTGGTTCTCAGGAACACCACATGTAACATCTGCATGCAGACCCAAGTGTACATATTTGCCATACACCCACACAGACTGCACTGGGGAAGAGACAAATAATGACTGACTTTCACCCACCCGCACCAAGAAAAAAAGTCTCCCCAAGTCTCTAACTCTGGCCCAGCCAAGAAGGTGAGCTTTGTCTGCCTCTTGGATTCTCTGCTTTGGCAGGTCCTCCTTTCCAAGCCTCTCATGCAAGGCCTAATTCTAAGAAGCTGTATAAACATTCATAGACTTTTGAACTGCTCCGATGGAAATATAGTATAGCTACCAAGAGGAGCAATTAAATAAGTCGGCTTCTTAAGCAGGCTTTGGCTAAGTTCGGAGTTTTCCAGGCTATAATATCAAATGAAGCCCCTGACAAAATAAAGTTATACCTGTTATTTTCTCTTTAGCTCCAAAATCCGGCACAGTTTCAAACGAATCCCCAAAGGAAGGATACAGTCTAAAGGGAAAGAACAAAGTGTCAGTGACATGATGCTAGAACCTGGAAGGAACAATGACTTTCACAGTCCCTTTCTGGTCTGGCTTCATTTCTGTATCTCTAAGATATATACAGAAAATCCATAGATTTGTGAACATAAGGCAAGCTATCTAGTTTAAAAGAAAGGGCCATAGATGGCAGTATTAGGGCCTGGCAGGCATCCTATTTACTTATTTCATTCCTTTGCCTCATTAAAGGCTGGGAAATCTGGATAAGATTTTGCCCCGTGTTCCTCATAGTTTTATGGTTTTTGTCTCCAGTTGCTGTTCAGTCATTTTTCAGTCATGTCTGACTCTTTGTGACCCCATTTGGGGTTTTTCTCAGCAAAGATCCTGGAGTGGTTTGCCATTTCCTTTTCCTGCTCATTTCACAGATGAGAAAACTGAGGCAAACAGGGCGAAGTGACTTGCCCATGGCCACACAGCTAGGAAGTGTCCGAGGCTGGATTTGAATTCATAAAGATTGAATCTTCCCAATTCCAAATTCAGTGCTCTATCTACTGCACCACCTAGCTGCCCGGTTAGGGTTAGCCTATCCTGAAGGATGAGAACTCCATCCGTCTATGATTTAGGAGACAAATCCTAGAGGGTTACCTGACATGCATAGAAATTAACTGCCCAGCTTAGTGTCTCCCAGATAACATGTCAGATTTGAACCCATATTCCTGACTACAAGTCCACTACCAGAGGCCATGCTGTCTTTATTGTGCATAGAGGCATTATTACAACATTGGTAAAAGGAATTTTGGTTCAATGAAAATAATCCTGGATTCGAATTGAGGGGATGCAGACTGGTGTCCAAGCTCTCTCACTTGCTACTAGTATCATCCTGAAACTCAGTATTCTCATCTTTCAAATGGGGACAATCCCTTCCTCACTTACCTCGTAGGATTGTTGGGAGGATCATTTGAAATAGCAGACATAAAAATGTTTTCTAAACTGTGAAATGCTAGACACAGGAGAGCCATTTTTATTCATGGGATCTAGACAGGTATCTTTACTCAAATCTTGCTCCAAATAGCTATTGCTTTCATGAATCTATTAAGTATTATATCAAGACGCTATTTGTAACAGTAAATAGTAACTAGATGCTTTGGCAGCATGATGCGGTGGCAAGAATGATAGACAAATAGGAGGTCCGACCTCACCTTGGATGCCTCCTCTCTGCCTGGGACCTCATTTATAAACAGAGGATACCACCCCAATAGTACTTACAGCCTCTTGGGGTTTCTGTGAGGGTCACGTGAGAAGGAATTTAAAGTGTTTTATGATACTTGAAGCACATATAAATATCAGTTATCAAAATAGTGTTATATCTTTATGAGAATATGACCCGAGAAAAACGTGCCAATCTGGTGGACAACCTGCTTGGTTATATGAACCTTAAGGTCATGTAACCAAGGCACCACTAGTTACTTGGTGGCAGTTCACCCTAAGTGGAAGCCAAGGACCCGCCAAGAACCAATCAGCTGCCCAAGCACAAGCAGTCCCTACCTTTTTTTTTTTTGCCAATTAGAGAGTTTCATATTGCCCGATAAGCACCCGCCCATGTGTCACATCTCCCCTAGTTACTCACTCTTGCTTTGGTTCTGCCAACAGCCCCAAACATCTCTCACCAAACTAGCCAGTGCATATTCATTCTGCATTTCCCCTCTTGTAACCCATGGTATCATCAAGGTAGGGATCATCTATACTTGCAAACTCAAACCTTTGCAATTTGAGCAAGGGGCACATCAGGCACCCACCCTTGGGGCCAACTGCTTGGTACTCCATTTGCAATTGATGGATTCCCCCCCAGTATAACCAACATCAACTTATTGCTGGATGTCCCAAAAACAAGACATTAGCATAAACAAGGAGCCAGCTTAAGTCTTTTGCTTCTTGGCTTTCCTTACACCCAGAATGCCAAGATTCAATCAATTGTACACAGCTGTGTTTCTGGACATGAACACATGCACAGTAAGAGCTTTAGTCTTTTAGTGCGGGGGATGGAGGTGGTGGAACACGGGACTAAATGCAATTATTCAACACTTAAATCCCTTTGCATGAATAATACCAAATTTCCCTGGTGTTCCACTCTCCTTTTTAAACAGATCGAAACTGCGGCTCAAAGAGCAAAATGGGAATTAACCAAATCCCTTCTGAACCCCCTGCTCAGAAATTGTTCCAAACAAAACCCCAATGCTTCCCTGGCACGGCAAGGTAGCATTTGGAAAGGCCAAAGTGACCAAATTCCACAGCTGAAGCCACATGTGCTAAAGCCTCTCTGGGCCTCAGAACACAAAAAGCCCAACCCTGGACACAAGGGTCTTGAGGGCTGAGACAGGTAATTAAATGTACATTTTCCGCACCTCCATTGTACAACCTGTTACTTATTAATCCAATCATTATCCACAAATTGGGGGAGAGGAGGCAGCCCGTGTCATTTAAAATGTTATGAACACTGCTTTGTTCAACAGCTGCACACACTTATGCCTAGTCTTGGTTGCTAAGGAAACATTCCCAATTAGAAGGTACAAACATAATGGAGAATTACACATAGGCTTGCTATCTTTAAAGTTCTATAAAAACAAACAAATCATTCCAACACCCCCAAACAAAAACCCAAATGATCTTATTTGGAGAACTAGTTAATCAAAGTTTATTTTATTGGATGGGCAAGGAACCAAGAAAAGACTCAATCACCAAGAGCCAAGGTCTTCCAAAAGAGAGCAAGGCTCTCAAGGAGTGAAGGGAATCCATACGGCCCTTGCTTGTACTCCTGACCAGGAGCTTCTGCTTCCTGCGGTAAGGCCTGCTGCCCTTCCAGAAGGTTCCCCAACCACCTGCCTAACTGAGGAAGGGTTCCCGAATGGGACTGCACAATGATTCCCCACACAGACACCACGTCACTGGGTACTTTGTGACAGGCAGGCAATAAAAATTTCAGGGAGTTTTGAAGACAGGGGGGAGAAAGGTTTTGAAAGCCCTGAAATTTTACAAAGTTTGCTCAATATGTACTTTATTTTGTATCGTTTTATACAGAACAAAATCTATTACCAAATGCCCTTAGATGTTCCTGGATTGTGTATGACTTGTTTGCTTATAAAAATATCCCATTTGCTACATTTGGAGACAGTGAAAGCCTATCTCCACTGTGGGCAATCCTGCCACTTGGCCACCTCCTCATGCTAGACTTTTTTTTTTTTGGTGAGGCAATTGGGGTTAAGTGACTTGCCTGGGGTCACACAGCTAGTAAGTGGCAAGTGCCTGAGGCCAGATTTGAACTCAGGTCCTCCTGACGCCAAGGCTGGAGCTCTATCCACTGCGCCACCTAGCTGCCCCTTGTGCTGGGCATTTCTTGCCCCATATCCCAGAATCTGAGAGTTGGCAGAGAAATCCATGGCCACCTAGTCCAACCAAACCCAAAGGAATCCTCTCTAGAACATCCTGACAAGTGGTCATCCATCAGGTGTCTTCCCAGGAGTATCAACCCAACAGAGCAAAGGCCTGCCTTAGTTTCCTTTAATGTGCATTATAGAGACCAGTGCAAGCCAGAACAGGAAAAGCTGGTTTAAAAAAAATAAATAAATAAAGGGTTTGTTTTTTTGAAAATCAGGGTTTGAAAGAGGCATTTTGGGGCTTTGAAATTTTGCCAAGGTTTCAGATTTGTGGTCAGCATTTTTACCTGCTACATATACTATTTTCAGCTGGGCTAGGCAAATCTACTAGTCCTCTTACCTGGAAGTTCCTCTCCCTAAAAAAACAAACCAAACCCCAAGTGTCCCCCCCTAATTTCTCACTTCCTTCCTGTCAGAAGACGTCACGGCTCTCCTCCCTTGAGCTAGCTCCTTCCTGAACACCTCCACCTTCCCGACTCCCTAATGAGTCTCCACTTCCACTTCCTCAGAGCCCCCAGTGGGCTGGGGCTGTTTCCATGGATTAGTACTTTATGCCGATAGGTAATTACAAGCATTTGCCCATCTCTTCAATCATGGTGCCAATTCCCCCAGGCCTTTCTGTTGTTAAGTTAAGGCACCTGACCAGTGGTGATGCACCAAGTGGTCTCCCCATGCTCTGGGCAGACAAGACAGTGGCACATAGATATATGCATCATGGAGGAAGGAGGTGTCACTAACTTTGGGGTGTTGTCAGTGACTAGGGAGGGATCTCTATTGCTCTCCCTACATCCTGCCCAGGCTCATGGGAAAGCAACAGCATGAATTTATGAAAGAGCCAGGCAGGGATAGGTACAAACAACAATGTTAACTGTCCCACACAGGGAGAGCCCAGGACCTTGGCTTCATTAGCCCCATGCCTCCCACAGAAGTGAGCGAGCTAACGAGCCTCGGACCACCGCTAACCCTCACAGAGAAATCTGGTTCTAGAGCAAACTGTTCTATGCTGAATGCAGTCACATGGACCTTGCAAGCCTTATGTTTCTAAACTACTTATCTTTAGGATTCAACAACCAAAGAAGAGAATATCTGTGCAAGTTATTCCTAAGGAATAGATAAGAACAGGGCATGCTGCATCAGAAAGACTTCTGTGCTTCTTTGGGGAGGTGTCTGGCCCATCAAGGCTGGTTTTGCTCCTGGGGAGCCTCATACCCTTCTCTCAACCCTGCAGAGTAACTGCTCCATTTTATTACAGAAATTAATGGTGCCACTGGGCCTGGGCAATACCAACTCCAGATTTTGTCTCAAAGAATAATGGCTTGGATGCAAAGTCCTTTGGGGCCTAGTGTGCCTAGACTACCCAAGGACACTGAACTGAGAATCTGGAGAGCCAGATTCCAGTGGTATCTCTGTGTAAGCCTGGATATCACTCTCCCCTCTAGGCCTTAGTACTAGTTGCCAGCTGGGAAATGAGGGTGGTTGGTCTAAGGCTTAGACCTTAGTCCCTTAGTCACAAGGGGATAAAATTCCATTGGAAAAAAACGTGTGTGTGTGTGTGTGTGTGTGTAATATATATGTATGTACGTGTATACACACACATATACACATATATAAAATACATGTATATACATATACACATATACAAAATACATATATACACACATACATACTCATATACATACATGTAAGTGTGGGTGGGGAACCTGTGGCCTTCTAAGTCCTTGGATGTGGCCTTTTGACTGAATCCAAGTTTGACAGAACAAATCCATTTATTAAGGGGATTTGTTCTGTGAGGTTTGGATTCAGTGAAAGGGCTGAACTTGAGGACCTCTTACAGGGCCACATATGGCCTCCAGGCCACAGGTTCCCCACCCCTGGTCTAAGCTTATCTCTAAGGACCCTTTCACTTCCAGTTCTGCCATTCCAGAATTCTAAGAATTCTCCAAATTATTCATAAATACAACCAAAAGCTGGATAGAGAGGAGCAGAAAATATGTTTGCTGGTTCTTGGCCAGTGTGGGGTTGATATGGAGATAGCATTGTACAGCAGAAACAGTGATGTAATCAGATTCAAGACACCCAAGTCTGATCCTACCTCAAACACCTACTAGCTGAGTGACCATGCATAAGTCAATTATCCTTCTCAAAGCCTCTGGTTCCTGATCTGTAAAACGAGGATGATACTTCTACTACCTAACCTTACAGAGTAGCTATAAGAAAACCACTTGGCAAACCTTAAACCACAGTCTATAGAGTAATGAGTTATTGTTGCCTCCATCCTTTCCTCATTACTCACAGAGGTTCAGACCCTCATCACCTTGTGCCTGGAGTACTGCAACAGCCTCCATGTTGGTCTCCCTTAAATCTCTCCCCTCTCCAAACCACACTCCCCACAGCTTCCAAAATGGCCCTAATCGATCACACTAGTCTCATTATATATTTATTATTCCCCTTCCTACACTCTGTGGCCTAGTCCAACTGGCCATCTTACTCTTCCACACACAATCCCCATCTCCACACCTTTGCACTCCATACCTCATGCCTAGAATGTACTCCCATCTCCCTTTACTTAACTCAAGACTCAACTCAGACCACATTCTACATGAAGCCTTTCATTTCCTGATACCCTCAACTCTTGGTGCTCTCCCTACCCAACGACCTTTTCTTTCTGAGAAGGTATATACATACATATACATATATATGAATGTATGTATGTGTGTGTATCTACATATATACACATATATGCATACATACACACACATTTTTTTTCTCCTGCAATGGAATTTTATCCCCTTGTGAACAGGGACAGTTTCATTTTTTTCTTTCCAGCTTCAGTGCTTAATAGGGTGCTTGGCATTTAACAAATACTTGTTGATTTAATGATTCCTTCCATGCCTGGCTCTGGACCAACTGGTTTTTTAATTGATTGCATTTAGGATGATCTGGAGCCCAAAGGATGGAGCCCTCATTGATGACAGTTGCTTTAAAATATGATTAGCACCTTCTCTGTATGAGGAGGAAGAAAGTTGCTCAAGACAGAAGATAAGGAGGCAGGGGCATTACCTTGCAAATAACCATTCCAGAATAAGCAAACGGTAAATTGAAGGTGTACACAGGAACTGTTTTATTGTCCTCAGTCCAGTAATATACAGACCATCAAGGAAGGGGCAGTCTATGTCCTAAGGGAAAAAAAAAACCAGATAGATTTAGAATATTACAGATGGGAAGAGATCTTAAGAGGCCGAAGAAGTCCATCTACAGCATCTGTAAAATTCAGTTACTCAGGTTCTGCATGACCAAGTTTTTCAGTGATGGACTATCTAATGACACTAGTTGTTTAAAAGACTTATGTTTAACTGAAATCGACCTCATTTATTTCACAAACACTAGATACAGTGTTAAAAAGATAAAATTAGAAACAATCCCTGACCACAAGGCAAATAAAATATGAAAATGTGTGACTCTAACTGAAGGCCAAACGTGATAGAAAGAAAAAAGGTTTTAGGGCAATGAGAGCTCATTTCTGGCTCCAGTAAGTAGAGAAGGCTTCCTGGAAAGAGCCTTAGAGGGATGCTTAGGCATTCCCTAAGTGTTATAAACCCAAAAGTGGGAGTTGGCATTACTGGTGGGGGTACGAGTATGAGTACAATATGAGTAAAGGAAAGGAGGTAAACAAGTGCAGACATGTTTGTGAGGTCAAATGGTCTAGTTTCAATGGAGTACAAGGTATGTGAAGGGAACCCGGAAGAGATGAGGCTAGAGAGGTGTTTTTGTGGTCAGTGTGCAGTGTCTTGAAGGCTGGGTTAAGAGTTACTCTTTTTTTTTTTCCCTTTTTGGTGAGGTAATGGAGGTTAAGTGACTTGCCCCGGGTCACACAGCTATTAAGTGTCAAGTGTCTGAGGCTGAATTTCAACTCAGGTCCTCCTGATTCCAAGGTCAGTGCCCTATCCACTGTGCCACCTAGCTGCCCCTCAGAGGTCCTCTCTATCCCATCGATGAAGCACTAGGGAGTCCCTGGAGCTTATTGAACAGTGCAATTAATCAGGTTTTGGGGTGCTGGGACCCCGAGAATGTCAAAGCAGAGTTGCCTGGAATGAATTCACACACTCAAGCCTTCTCTTAGGTGGCAAAGAGTTTATTTGTAACGCTTTAGCAAAAGTGGGTAACGGTCCTTATGGAACCTGCTGAGACATATGGAAAAGGGGCATGGGAAAGGAATGCCAAAGATACTAATTAGGTAATCTAAGGGTCCAGGTCTTGGGAGCTATGGATGGGAACGTGTAGGGAGTATACCAGACATTGAGAGAGTTGTCAGAGGCATGGACCTTGGCGATCTGGTGGGAGGAAGAGTCCTTGGGCCAGCCAGGGACAAAAATCCCTGGGCCAGGCATCCCTGCGTCTGTTTTGATAAGAGAATGTAACAAGAGAAAATTTCTCACAGGCCAGGGGCGTACTAAGAAGTTGGGAGGCTTCCAGAGACATGATCTTAGGGCTGGGGCCCGAGCACTCCATCACAACGATTTGAGGTTCTGAATCGGGCTAAGGCTGCAGGAGCTGTACGACAAAAATAAGGTACAGACCAACCCTTCCTACCATAGCTTGTGGTGTGGAACGATGGACTGGAGAGGGAAATGATACTGGATAACTATGGGGGTGTGGGGGGCAATCCTGGGGCCAGCTCCAGGGGAAGGGCCTTGGCCAGGGGACAGGCCAGCAGAACTCCTGCAGGAAGCAGGTGATTTAGAAGGAGAAGGAACGAGGGAGAAGGGAGAGAGAGAAGGGGAAGAGAGGAGGGGGAGAGAGGAGAGGGGGGGGGGGGCGGGAGGTCCAGGAGGGCACTCGATTCAAAGTCAACTCGTACACTACCCGTTGCCTTTGCCCCAGGCTCGACCTCCCCTCGCCTCTCTCATAGGAGACCCTCCGACAACCCAGGTCTCTCTCCCTTCCTCTGCGTGACCCCTGACCCCGGCTAGGCCCCGCCCCTTCCGCCCGCACCTTTAATCTTTCCAGAACCCTCAGAGCCTCCAGTGAGAGCTGGGCGTCCTCCTCGTCCTCGTCCTCGTCCTCGTCCTCGTCCTGGTCCTGGTCCTGGTCCTGGTCCTCCTTCTCATTCTCGTCCTCGTCCTCCCCCTCGTTCTCCCACTTCTCCTCACACCATCTCTTCCTGGCCTGCGCCGCTTTCTGATCGTTGTCGCCGTTCTCGAACCCTGTCCAAAGGTGGGCCATCATCTCTCCCGCTCCTGCGAGTCGGAACCTACCGGGCCCAATATCCGCGCGCTCACAGAGCGCGTCTCTTCATTGGACAGAGTCAGTGACGTCACGAGGGCTCGCGCCCTCGCCGCTCTCGTTGCCCCCGGACGCCTGTCCCCGCCCTCCTGACGCTAATCCCACACCCCGCCGGCACTTTCGCCTTCCCATTGACTGGGACTCAAAAAGAGGGCCCCGCCTACTTCCGCTTTCTTTTTTCCGGGGGGTTGGTGGAGAAGGGGGCGACTGAAGAGAGGTTAATAGATCTCCGGAAGTAGAGGAGAACCCTCTGGGGCGAGGGGCAGCAGCACCACCGTTGGAGGAAAGAGTTTCCCCCCACCCACCCACCCCCCCCCGTACACACTCGTGCAAATCATTTTAGCGAAAGGGAGACTGGAGCCCAGAAAGCGGAAGGGACTTGGCCAGGGGCGCCCAGCTAAGGGCAGGAAGGGAGGGGCCAGAACTTTGGGGTGATCACGTGCAGCCCCCTACCCCCCCATTTGGGAAACCGAGGGGCCCAGAGAAAGAGCGAGTGTTGCCCAGTAACGCCCTTGGGTGCGTGTGGAGGAGGGGGTGCCACACCAAGCCCCCCTTAGTCGGCATGTCTAGGGAGAGCCCCGCCCCCTGCCCCGCTTTCTCCCCTTCCCCGCCCGGAGCCAAGCAGCCCCGGGAAGCTTTCCAGCAGCAGGAGGAGCCCTTGGCCACGACCGTCCAGGCTAGAGGGATCCTAGGCTGCAGGGCCCAAGCTGGGTGGGCTCTCTCTAGGGCCCATCTCCCCCTCGGCCCCCTCCTCCTGAGAGGGGAAGGTGCTTACTTGTGGTGGCACCCTCCTAGAATTTAGGGCTGCCCCGAAAAGGCCCCTCGAAATGAGATCCTCCCACCCCCTTCACTTTACTGACAGAGAAACCGAGGCCCAAGATGGCCAAGGGTTTAGAGGTTTAGCCAGGCTTTAAAGCTGTCAGGACCCGTAGCCTCTCTTGTTCAGTCCTACATTTGGGAGAGGGGGGACAGGGAGGGACACAAGGACCCAGGCCCACACAAGGGAAGGGACTTGCTCAGGGTCACACCAATAGTCTGTGGCATTCCCAGAATCACAAGCTTAGAGCTGGAAGGGACCTTAGGAGTCCTCTAGTCCCACCCCCTCCAGAAAAAAGGAAGCTCAGTATCAGGGAGAGAGTGAGAAGCAGAGCTGGGATTTAAACCCACGAGTCCCGGACCCAGACCCATTGTGGAGTCTCCAAGTTGGAGGTGTCTCCTATCTGCAACTTCTCAAAGGGGTCATCCATCCCACCTCTGCTTGCACTGACCAGGAACTCACTACATCCATTCCTTGTCAGGGAGCTCTAATTGTTACAGAGTTTTCCTCCATGGTTTGGAATTCATCAACCTGTAACTTGCATCCACTGCTCCTGGTTCTACCCTCTGGAGTGAGGAACAAATTGAATCCCCCTTCAAACACTTGAAGATAGATATCATGCTCTCCCTTTAGACACGAGATGAATCTTGTTAGATGTCTCCCCCTTGGTTTGCTCATCAGAACCTCCTGCAACCAGGATTTAGTTCATTGGGCCAATGAGAATATCTGTTTGGAATCTGCTTTCCCAGAGTCTAGGAAATGGGTGGGGAACCTGTGGCCTCGAGGCTACATGTGGCCCTCTAGATCCTCAATTTTGGCTCTTTGACTGAATCCAAACTTCACAGAACAAATCCCCTTAATAAAAGGATTTGTTTTGTAGAACTTGGACTCAGTTAAAAAGGACCTAGAAGGCCATGTGTGGCCTGGAGGCTGCAGGTTCCCCACCCCTGGTCTAGGATATGCATCTCACAGTGTCCAGAATCCTCTTCCTTGGCTGCTTCAAGCTCTAAGATGACATTGTACCTTCCCCCTGCCATCCCCAAGTCTCCAGTCATTCCCCTAGCACCAACTGGTTCGTCATGGTTGGTCAGAATCACGTCTGGAGTAACTGTTCCCCTCCTGAGATCTAAACTCTCTGTGGAATGACACTAGGTCTGGATCATCAAAGCTCCCCATCACTCCTGTGTCCTACCCCAGTGCTAACTTTGTCATCTACATTAGCGAAGCATAATCCATTTCTTCCATTTGTCCCCAGCTGTAGCTGTTCCTCCTCTTTTCTTCACCTCAGTGCTCTCCTCCATGATTTCCCCTCACATGGATTCCCACACTTGTATGTCCCTTCTTGGCACACACTTCTTTGCTTACAACCCCATCAGAAGTATTTCCCTTCATCAGGGACTCCCTTTCTAGT